TAGTAAACAAATAAATATATTTCACATAATAGTTTATTTGGAGGCCGTATTTGAGCCTAGAAGACAATCATACAAGGGATGAAGACGATGCAACCGTATGGACTGCAACAACACCAATTATCATGTTCACTACCCTGGGAATGCACCATAGTCTTCGTGTGAAACTACAACTCAACATGTATCAAGACATCCCAGGTCCCCGAGGTGCTTCAAAAAAAAAAAAAATACCAGAACAGTAAAATCTCAAACCAATGCAACTATGCCAATTGGAAAGACTACGCCAAAGCAGGGTGTCGTCAATGGAGGCAATACCACAACTTTTTCCTGACAGACTTTGTAATACCAACCGAATTTAAACCAAGTCCTCAATACATGTATTATTATAGATCAATTACAATTGAGTTTTTGTTTGAACCTAGATATTTAGTTGACTCACATCAACAGACATCATCACTGAACGCCCAAACAAACCAACAACAAACCACAAACACCCAAACCCAAAAACCAATACATGTCATATACCTAATCACCAAACCAAGAGCATACCATATACTACCAACAACAACCACAAGTTTTTTTTTTATGAATCTTCCTACAAATAAACACGAGTCACAAACCCATCATGTTCACTACTCTGGGAATGAACCATAGTGATGTGAAAAAAAGTTCTTCTTGACTTTGGTTAAAATTTTGATGAAGACAAACACATCAATAAAAAAAATACAAAGCATGAACGCTAGCAAAACCAAGCTCAAGTGACCATAAGCTTTAGAAATTAAAGGAAAGAATCAAGATGGTTAAAGTATGCATTACAATTAGTATTATATATCTTAATGGCTAAAAAATTATCATGCATATTCATCTCAAATCATTTGTGCATCTTTCAAATAGCTGTAACCAAACCATGTTGTATTTGAATATTTTCAAATAGCTGTAACCAGTTACACAAAACTTGTAACCGGTTACACGTTTGAAAATTTTGTTTTATTTTTAAACATTTACACCGGTTACAGGTACAATATTTTCTAAACATCTTTTAACAACTAAAGGTGTAACCGATTACATCATTATGGCAACCAGTTACGACTAAAACAACAACTCTTTTCATCAGTGTGTTTCATTCCTAAAGATTGCATTGCTTCATGGAACCACTCCAAACATTTTTATTCATTCAAAGGGGTTTCTATTGATGCATATAAGGTTTATACATTAGTAAAACGAAAATCAACTATTTCAAAATGTAGTTTTCAAATCAATTCAAACAAAGTTGTTAAATGCTCATATATTTTCAAATGAAACTTTGTACATAAACTTTTACATCATTTAAACAAGTTTCATTTATAACATTTTTGAGCACTTATGTATAAATGTTTGAATTGTGATTAAAGGGAAAGAAAAGAGCAAAAAAATTCATATATCTTGGAATACAAGCATGTCAAAAGAGATACAAACTCAAGAGTGAAATCTGTATTTGTGATCATCAAGTTGTTGATGATTGTTGTAAAAAAGTTATTTGAAATGGTTTGATTCAAAGACCACTGTATTTGTTGGTGTTTAGAAATCAAGTAAGTGGTGTGCTTCTTTGTTATTGTTAGAAGATTGTAAGAGAAGTCTAAGTCGTAGGCTTGTACAAAGATCTGACAATAGCGAAATACCTCACGAGGTGTGAGGGGATTGAAGTACTCTTTTTTTGGAAAGAGAAACAAGGATCTATCGTTGTGTTCTTTACTTTTTGCACTTTAATTTTTTGTTATTCATCATTCAAAATAGCCATTACATTTTATTCTAAACCAGAAAATTAAAAAGAAAAAGAATTTGCTTAAATATAAAGAAAAATCTAACAAGTTTAGTTCACCCATTCTCTAGATTGCGCACTATAATACTTACAAATGATCCTGTGAAACTACAACTCTAAATGCATCAAGACATCCCAAGGCCCCTGAGGTGCTTAAAAAATAATACAACAGTAAAATCTCAGACTAATGCAACTATGCCAAAGCAGAGTGTCATCAATGGAGGCAACACCATAACTTTATCCTGATCGACTTTGTAATACCAACCGAATTAAAATCAAGTCCTCAATATATGTATGACTATAGATTAATTAACAATTGAGTTTTTGTTTGAACCTAGATATTTAGTTAACCCATATACACGAACATCATCATCAAACGCCCAACAAAACCAACAACAAACCACAAATACCCAAACCAAAACCAATACATGTCATACACAAAATCATAAAAGCAAGAGCATACCCTATACTACCAACAACAACCATAAGATTTTTTTTATCAATCTTCCCACAATAAATACGAGCAACAAACCCATCATACATATTACTAAAACATTCAACAAACACCTTAAACAAACATTAACTTCTAAACACCACAACAATTTCCTTTTTACCCCAACGAAATATTCTCACAAATGTCACTAGTTGATCGACCTTCCTATCGTCCTACCATGGACTCATAAGCTCAAACAACACAACCGCACTATGAAAACATGAAAACAAACTAAATTACGACAATGCCTACATTGACCCACAAGTCCGAGTAAAGAGAATGTCTTTTGGATTATCCAAACACATGTTGAGTATAACAAGTGTGAGTCGTATGAGTAATAGTTCTACATTTGCTAGAAATATGGAGACTTGAGCATTTATAAGTGGGAGAACCCATACACCTATCACCTTAAGATTTTTTGTGAATATGTGGCGTGTCTCTCACAAATGTGTTGTTCAAAGAAAGAAGACTCACAATGTTCAATACTCCATAGTTGAAAAAATCCCCCAACAGTGGTATCATGAACATTTGGTTCGACTGAAGGACTGACTCACTTATATCGAAAGTACTCCCCACAGGTGGTGGTTAGGAGGTGTCCCGTTGAAGAGTGTCAACGACGGTACAAGTGCATGTGAATGAAAAGAGCTTCTGCTTAAGAGGGAGCATTGTGGATAGATTAACACTTAAGAGGGAGTGTTGAGTATAACAAGTGTGAGTAGTATGAGTAATAGTCTCACATTGGTTAAAAATATAGAGACTTGAACATTTATATGTGGAAGAACGAATACACATATCACATTAAAATTTTGGATAAATACACGGCGTGTCTCTCAAAAGTGTTTCTCAAAGAAAGAAGTCTCACAATATTCAGTGCTCCCTAGTCTCACATTTTAATTCAACTTTAATTATATTACACTAGTTTTTTAATTAATAAATAAATAATTAAATATATTATATTAATTAATTATTAAATAAAAAAAACATAAAAAACAATGACACTTACATTTAATTGGTGCGCCCTATTAATGATAGGAGCACATACCAATTGATTTGCGGCCCTGGTGTTGGTTAATTAGTATAGTACGCTCCAATTGGTGTGACGGACTCACTTCAAGTTATTTATTTTTTTTGTTTTAAGATTTTTGTTGTGGATATTGAATTGAGAAAGATGAATATCCGTAATTTATAAAAAAATTCTGGTTTTATCATTAGGTCCCACAGCAACAATAATCAACAGAAGTCAGGATATAATAGCTTTAGCCATTCGGTTTGGCTTTGGCTGGTGTGAAACATGCCGCAATTTTTGATGTTGCCCTCTATTGCATCCTGTAGAATGTAGATGCTGATGTTGTAAGCAAAAAACACCACACGGTTTTTAGTCATGATCACATGGTGCATTCTTTACTTAATAAATCTTGTTAACTTGTCTACTTAAAAAATATGCTTGCATAAAGAAATTGTATTAAAGATACAAATATTTAAATTTTAAAACAATTAAATGTACAATTTGTAAAATAGTTTTTTCATTTTAAGTTCTTTTAACAATTGTTTTTATCACATATATTATATATATATATATATATATATATATATATATATATATATATATATATATATATATATATATATATATATATATATATATATATATATATATATATATATATATATATATATATATATATATATATATATATATATATATATATATATATATATATATATATTTTTTTTAAAGCGTGTTTCGATAATCAATCTGTTTTTATACTATTTGTCTGACACATTTGATTTTTTAACATAAAAAATAATCAATTTTTTACGGATAGTGTAAAAATTTATGGACAACAATGTTGTGTCATTTAAAATAATAAATATAGTGTTATAATTGAATTAATTTTGCAATCTGCCGATTTGTATGTTTTTTTGTATATCTTTGATTATATATAATTAATAAAAAAATCAACAAAAATAAATTAAAATAAATTATTTTATAACAAAAATTTGAAAAATAATAAAATTACAGATAACTTAATTCTTATCACGCGAACTCCACGCGCAATCCATGTCCGTCCAGGACGGCACCCCATTACTCAAAGCTATTCACAAACTTTTCATTATCATCAAAAACAAAATAACTTATAATCTTACAATTAAACGTGCAGCCATTTTACAAATAACATTTTAAAACCAATTTTAAGTCTTGATTAAAAAAATATATATTATCTTTAATATTTATTTTTAAACAATTAATAAAAATTTGTCTCTTCACTCCACCTAGATTGTGCTCTATGTATTGATTATTCAAAATGAAGTAGAGATAGTGGTTATGAACAACTCATGAAAATGCATCCCACTAACTCTCTTTCCATTCCTCACATCATAGATCGTGCTGTTTTTCTTTTGCAACTTCAATTTTCATGTGAACTAGTAGTATCAAACTTCTCACTTTCTTCTTAGAAAAAACCATTTAAATTCCTCATCATCAATGTGTGTATTAAAATACTCCTTTTTGCAATATTTGACCGAATTCTAGATAACAACAAAAACAACATTGTTTTTCCTAGGAAGTTACATGGAAACTGTTTCATATGTACTCTTTAACACGAAATATCAAACTGCTTGTGTGTATATATATACTTAGGTGATCATTCTTGTATCTATAGAATGAAGTTCTTTCCTAGTATTTTCCTATAGGTCTAGTAAAATTCCACCATGTCTAACAATCATAATCTACAATATGATGGTACTTCATTCATCATTGATATCACCAATACCTTCTCAAAAGTCAGTTCTAAATACACCAATAGTGCAAAAAGAAGATGGCGTTTTGCATATACAGCTATTTATTCTAGAAGGGTTATGCTTTCCCTTGCAAGAGAAGTTATATCCAGAAAAAATCCAAAACTCTTTCATACACTGTCTTCTAGCACCACTCTTGATGTAATTGAACCGCTCATTACTCGGCATAACGGAGCCGATCATTATTCGTTGGTTTCTCATGATGTTGATAAGGCCAAGCTCGCTGATATGGTCAAGGACAAAAGCTTGAAGTCATTAGGTGAGTTTGGCGGAGTTGAAGGAGTTGCTCGTGTTCTTGGAACGGTTCCGAAAATGGGAATTGTGGGAAGTGATGATGATGTTTCGAGACGGATTGAGTTGTTTGGTTCGAATACTTACAAAAAGCCGCCCCCGAAAGGGCTTTTACATTTCGTGCTTGAGGCTTTCAATGATACAACTATTATTATTCTTCTGGTTTGTGCTGGTCTTTCCCTTGGTTTTGGCATTAAGGAGCATGGACCAGGGGAAGGTTGGTATGAAGGTGGAAGTATATTTCTAGCGGTTTTTCTTGTGGTTGTTGTAAGTGCATTAAGCAATTTCAGACAAGAAAGACAGTTTCATAAATTGTCTAAGATAAGTAATAATATCAAAGTTAAAGCTGTGAGAAACGGAAGGCCGCAGAATATATCGATTTTTGATGTTCTTGTGGGAGATATTGTGTCTCTCGAGATTGGTGATCAGATTCCAGCTGATGGAGTTTTTCTATCAGGTCATTCATTGCAGGTGGATGAGTCTAGCATGACAGGTGAGAGCGACCATGTAGAGATTGAGCCTCTACGAGCGCCTTTTTTGTTGTCTGGCGCGAAAGTGGTGGACGGATATGCTCAGATGCTTGTAACATCTGTTGGGAAAAACACGTCGTGGGGTCAAATGATGAGCTCGATATCGCGAGACACTAACGAGAGGACGCCGCTGCAAGCTCGCCTTGATAAGTTAACCTCTTCGATTGGTAAGGTTGGACTTGCGGTAGCGTTTCTTGTACTTCTAGTATTGTTGGTTCGTTATTTTACAGGTAATTCACAAGAAAAGAAAGGGAATAAGAAGTTTCAAGGAAGTGAAAGCAGTGTAAACGACGTTATGAATTCTGTTGTGAGTATTGTTGCGGCTGCGGTTACTATTGTGGTTGTGGCAATCCCTGAGGGTTTGCCTTTGGCCGTGACGCTCACGCTTGCGTACTCGATGAAAAGAATGATGGCAGATCATGCCATGGTGAGGAAACTTTCTGCTTGTGAAACTATGGGATCTGCAACAGTTATCTGTACTGATAAAACAGGTACATTGACATTGAATCAAATGAGGGTGACCAAGTTCTCTCTCGGCCTCGAAAATTATATCGAAAATTTTTCCAATGCAATGGCTCCAAATGTTCTTGAGTTATTCCACCAAGGGGTGGGCCTCAATACAACCGGAAGCGTCTATAAGCCGCCATCAGGATCCGAACCTGAAATTTCAGGTAGTCCGACAGAGAAAGCGATACTAATGTGGGCGGTATTGGATTTAGGAATGGACATGGATGAAATGAAACAGAAACATAAAGTCCTTCATGTTGAAACGTTTAACTCGGAGAAGAAACGAAGCGGCGTTGCAATAAGGAAGGACAGCGACAACCGAGTTCAGGTACATTGGAAAGGAGCTGCAGAGATGATACTTGCAATGTGCACAAAGTATATTGATAGTAATGGCGCGAGGAAGTCCCTCGACAAAGAAGAACAGTTTAAAATCGAGAAGATGATTCAAGGCATGGCTGCTAGTAGTCTAAGATGCATTGCTTTTGCTCATACAGAAATTTCAGATTCAGAAGATAACGATTATATGATCGAAAGAGAGAAAAAGACTCTACGAGAAGATCGGTTGACATTGCTCGGCATTGTTGGCCTCAAGGATCCTTGTAGACCAAACACAAAGAAAGCTGTGGAAACTTGCAAAGCTGCAGGAGTCGAAATTAAGATGATCACCGGCGATAACATATTCACCGCAAAGGCAATAGCAACAGAATGTGGAATATTAGATCCTAAGGATCATGCAAATGCTGGAGAAGTCGTCGAAGGGGTTGAATTCAGAAACTATACAGAAGAAGAGAGAATGGAGAGGGTCGATAACATCCGAGTGATGGCAAGATCTTCTCCTATGGACAAACTTTTGATGGTGCAATGCTTGCGAAAGAAAGGCCACGTAGTTGCGGTCACAGGCGACGGTACAAACGACGCACCTGCATTAAAAGAAGCCGATATAGGACTCTCAATGGGAGTCCAAGGAACCGAAGTCGCCAAAGAAAGTTCCGATATCGTTATCTTAGATGACAATTTCAATTCCGTCGCAACTGTTTTAAGATGGGGAAGATGTGTTTACAACAACATCCAGAAATTCATTCAGTTTCAACTAACAGTCAATGTCGCAGCGCTCGTCATAAACTTCATCGCAGCAGTTTCGTCCGGCGATGTTCCCTTAACAACAGTTCAACTTCTTTGGGTGAATCTCATTATGGACACACTAGGTGCTTTGGCACTAGCAACAGAAAGGCCTACAAAGGAGTTAATGAAGAAAAAACCGATCGGAAGAACCGAGCCTCTTATCACAAACATCATGTGGAGAAACCTTCTAGCGCAAGCTACATATCAGATCGCAGTTCTTCTCATCATGCAATTCTACGGAAAATCAATCTTCAACGTAAGTAAAGAGGTTAAGGATACTCTAATTTTTAACACTTTTGTTCTCTGCCAAGTTTTCAACGAGTTCAACTCGCGAAGCATGGAGAAACTATACGTTTTCGAAGGCATTCTGAAAAACCACCTGTTTCTCGGAATTGTGGGGATAACTATTGTTCTTCAAATCTTGATGGTGGAACTGCTGAGAAAATTTGCTGATACAGAAAGATTAACATGGGAGCAATGGGGAATTTGCACCGGTATCGCAGTTGTTTCATGGCCTCTTGCTTGCATAGTAAAGCTCATACCTGTTTCAAATCAACATTCATTCAATTACACTAAGTGGGTTAAGTTATTAGTCTTCAAGATTAAGAAAGCATTTTAAGTTTATCTTAAATTGCACTCAAATTTCAAGTATCTTATAGCAGATACCTTTATATTAGGCTTGGAAGTTTGGTAGTAGTTGTAATTGAAAAGTTCTTTAAATATTCTTGTTAACTTCTCTCAAGTGTACCAAAAAGTATATAAGCTATTAGAGTTGAAACCTTCAAATTGGTATGACTAAAATTGCATTCATTTTCTTAGGAACACTTTGTTGATGTTGAATACCTGATACAACTGGTTTGTTTGTTTTAGATTTTCAAAAAATATATTTTTAAAAATGATTTTTATAAAAATGTTTTTTAAAATATTAAATTTTTTTTCGAGTTTGATTTTTATAATTAAAAGACTAACTCTAATATCCTATAAAAACATACATTATTAAAGATAAACAATAAGTCTAAATTGCAATTTTTTTTCAAAAATAAATTTTATAAAATACTTATTTGAAATAACTTCAAAATTAGTTTATCTTTGTTTGAAATTTTAATTTCTAAAATTTAAGAATAACTATTCAACTAAATTTTTATTTAAAATTTTTGTTAAAAATTTGTTTATAAATACTTTAAATAAAAATATGTAACACTATAAAATTATAAAAAAAAATAAAACAAACGAGTAATGTGCTAACAAACTATATGAGAATTGTAACTGTTGAAGAGTATTGCTTCATTACACAATTTTTCTTGTACACCGTCTTTTATCTAAGGAAGATTGTTATTATTAGAGTTTAACCTAACACAATCTTATAAAATCAGTTGGTAAGGTGAGAGGTGCCACTCTATATAAACTATTTCAATGCTCTATCTTCAACCAATGTGAGACTTTAGGATATTCCTAACACACCCCTCACGCCCAACACTTTTTTTTGGACTTGGTGCGTGGATTTAAACGGTAGGCTACCCAATGTTTGATCGATAGGCTCATATACCATATTAGAGTTTGACCTAACACAACCTTACAAAACCGGTTGGTAAGTTAAAGGTGCTACTCTATATAAACTATTTCAATGCTCTATCTCCAATCAATGTAGAACTTTAGGATATTCCTAATAGTTATTAGCAGGCTAGATCTCAATATTAAGTTGATACAACTTGAAAATTATGTTGATCTGACCTGGTCAGGAGGGGATCACGGTCTGGCCATACGCTGTTGGGCTGCTACCTGTTCACCGGTGATGAGGAGGAGGAGGGGGGTGTACCTGCAAGACACTCCGATGCCAAAGTAAGAAATTGGGCAGAGTGGTAGCAAAAGTACAGAAAAGGGCAAGATGAGAGTTACCTGACCCTCTTGAGGAAGATGGTATTTATAGAGAGACCCCAGCGCTGAGCCAACGGTCATTTGAGATGGGCTGGATGACCATGCCTAACCCTAATGACTGCTAGGCCTTACGTGGCGTAGTGAAGACCAGGACGTGGTCTTCGCCCTAGTCCAACTGCTCCTAGATCTCCGGAAAGTGGGTTTGACCTGCTCTTTCGGAGGTGGGCAGTTGGTTGATGACGTGTCCCCGCGGAGGGGAGCACGTGGAGAACGTGCACCGGGCACGTTGTTCTCCCCGCGGAGGGGAGCTCGCGAGATACCCCGGAGCGCGTTGTTCTCCCCGCGGAGGGGAGGAACCACGACCGCGCTTTGGTGTGCCGGGGTTGGCTCTGCTCGGCTGGTAAGGTGGATGACGAGCTGCTGTTGGAAGCGCTGCTCGTGTTCGGCGGCATTCTCTGCTCGTCTCGTGGGACGCATGTGCCCGGCGTGCCCGATTCGCCTGTTGGGCCGTACGTGATATTGGGCCTGCCGAGGTCGGGCCCAGGCCGGAACAAGAGCCCCCCAAGTCGAAGCTCTGGGGAGAGAGCGATGACTTAAGGTCGCTGTGTCGGGGAAGAGGTAACAGAGCGGGAGGTTCGTCGGGATTCGTGCACGGTGGAACGGCTACCCACGTGTCGGCGGTGACGGGGTGAAAGCAGGCGAAGGGGTGCGACTGTCAAGCTGCCGCCACGTGTCGTGTGTTTAGCGGTCGTAGGGGCGGCTACCCTATGTCATTAATGAGCCTAGCGTCGCTTCGAATCCCGCGCCGGGTTATAAATACGGGGGTCCCCGCTCATTTTATTACTTTTCAATCTGCTGTTGTGTCTGCGAAGCTCTGTCATCACTGCTCGTCCGCCGCTTGCCGTCGATCGCCGTCGTATCGTTTGATCCTTTGCTCCGTTCGCCGCCGTTACAAGTGAGTCTTCATTTCTTTCCTTTTTTATTTCCGTCGTTTAATTGGAACGTGTGGTCGGGGCATTCATAATGCCCCGAGGAGGGGCGCGAGGCCCGCCGCCTCTGGTGAACTTTCTGATGAGTGTCCCGGGGAGAATCGGCTGATTCCGATGAATGTCCCGAGGACGGGGGCTTTCTCCGATGAATGCCCCGGGGACAAGTGCCTTTTCCGGTGGATGCCCCGGGGAGGCGCGCTTTTTTTGGTGACCGTCCCGAGGAGGGATGGCGGGTCGGCTTTAGACGCCCCGAGGAGGGTAGACGGGGAGCGAGCGTTTGTTCGTCGTTTTCCGGCCTTTGTCGCCCTTTCACTTGACCTGCGGTGGAAGGGTGGATTTGATCCTGGCTATCGAATTCACCGTTGTCCTCTGCTTTTCAGGTGTAGATGTCGGCTCTGGTACCGGGGATAATGGTCGAAGACAACGAACCCGAGATTCCGGATTTTGACGACGAGCGCATTGCCCCGTCCGAGGAATGGGCGGCCGAGGAGCCGCTTTCTACCCCGTCTTGTTTTGTGGCCGATGCGTCCGACGTGTATGCCACGGTCGAGGACACGCCTATAGGGGAGCCACATCACTGGCAGGTGTACCGACCAAAAGAACATCATCGTATCTGCTCGCGATATGGGCGGTGGATGTTCCCGATGCATGAGTTCTACTTTAAAGAAGCTCGGCTCCGGTTACCGTTCTCCGCCTTTCATCTGGGGCTCTTTGATTGGTTGCGCCTGGCCCCGTCTCAACTGCACCCCAACGCCTTGGCTTTCATCCGGGCTTTCGAGGTGGTGTGCTTCTACCTCTCGGTGGAGCCGACGGTACCGCTATTTTTCGGCATCTTCCACTTACAGCGGCAGACGGTGAGTGGCCGCCACGGATGGGTTTCTTTTAAGCAATCGACCAAACTTTTCAAAGCGTATAGTGATTCCGTCAAGGATTTCAAAAGCCGGTTCTACCTCGTCAAACCGATCACGCAGCAGGGCTCAAACACTCTCTTCGACGAGGGCGAGCGAACGGTAGATGGCCAGCGGTTCCTCGCGTGGCTTCCTAAGATACATCTACTGTGGACTGCGGAGCATTTCAACCGAGGAACGGATAGGTATATCGTCCGGGCGGGGACCCTCGAGGAGAAAGACATGGCCGCCTATTTGAAAATAGTCGCCTTTGTGCGGTCTCTCCCTCCGTCGAAGCTGGTGACGCCTGACGGTCGGTATATCCTCGACGCGCAGGGGAATGTGCGTACTAAGAAGCGTTTGATTAATAACAAGACCCTGCTCGGTTGTGCGACCGGGGCGGCCGCTCTGGACTATCTAGGTAGGAATGTTCGTTTTTCTCCCCGTGGTCGGGGCTTCGACCGTCGCTAACTCTTTTCTTTGTTTTTGCAGCGAACATGTCTTCCGTCGAGGAGCGGGTGAAGCAGTTGCGTGCCACCAGGAATGCCGCGGTCCCGAGGACGAGGGTGAGCCAGCTGGTCGGACAGGAGGTCGCGACGCCGGGGGGGCAGAGTTCGTCCTCTTCGCCTCAAGGGAGTCAATCTCCTGCGTCTCAAGGAGCATCGAAGAGGCAGAGGTCCGAGGAGCCCCGAGGTGTGGTAGATCTGACGGTCGGTACGGCTGAGGAAGGTTATGTCGTCCCGCCCTGCCATCAGCATCCGGGCTATTTTCATGGTGCCTGTTCTCCTACTGTATCCGCTGGGGAGGTGAAGGCTATTCGTCAAGCCGATCGAGAGACTCGTCGACGTGTTCTGGCTGAGGACTTGGCTGCAATGATGCGGATGTTCATGACGGCTCTTGTGCTGAACGGGGAGGGCTGCTCCGCTGCTGAGCTGTCTAAACTGCAGGGGGATCTCACCTTCATGCAGTCGCGATTGGCCAAGCTCACTGAGGAGTTGGAGAAGAGCCAGAAGGATGTTGCTGAGCAGCGAAAACAGGCAGAGGGTGCTGAGGGGAAGGTGACTTCGCTGGAGGAGAAGCTGGGGGAAGCGACGGCCGAGGTGCAGGCGCTGAAGGTTCGCACGGAAGTCTTGGACAGCGCAGTCCGTCCGGCCGAGGACGAGACAGATGGAGATCGATGGTTAATCACTCGTGCTGACCTGATTGCCCGTATCCGGGTGTTGGAAAGCGACTGTCTGGAGGCTGTTGAGGTCGGATTCAAGAGTGCTGTTGAGCAGGTTCAGGTCGCCAATCTTGGTGTCGCGCTGGCCGTGGATGGGATCTGGCCGTACCACGAGATTGTTGACGGGAAGATGGTCGATCCCTATCTTGTCGTTCCCGAGGAGGATCCCGCAACTGCTGATCGGGCGGACGAGGTAGCATAGGTTGCCGGGTCTGCGTGCTCGTTGTTTTTATGGCCTGCGTGCCGATGTTTGTGACATCTTTCTTTGGGCCTGCGTGCTTTGTTTTTGTACTATTGACTACTGGGCTGGTGCCCGCCTTTTGCTTAATATATTTTTTTGTGGATTTTCTAAGTGTGCGCTCGTTATTTGCATGTCGTTTATGCTCGTTTTTCGTATTTGTTTATTTGAATGCTTTTGATGTGTATGATATTTCTTGTAAATTTTCTAAGTGTGCGCTCGGTATGTTCGGGTGCTAGCTCGACGATTTGTTACCGGTGGTGCAGGGAACCGGCCGGTTTGGCCGGCGATGTAGCCGGGCCGTTTCGGGGGTAGTTCTCCCCGGGGCGTGGACGTCCCATCGCGAGCTGGGTGTCCTGCCGCTTTTGGTACGACGGCGGGGAATCTCGGTCGAGGTGTTCCTTGCCG